AATAACAGGACTCAGCAAATTAAAGGTCTGAAAGTTGTTAATTTCCTAGAAGATGAGGAAACCCCAGAATTATTATAACTACCCAAACATGAGCTATCATGAGACACTGCAGTCGTTTTGATGATAGCCAGGAGAGCTTTTCCTTATGTTTTATCGGAGTCTCTAAAGCAAACATTTTTTATTCAAAATAATTAAAAGCACCTAATTGTGGCTCAATTAATTTCCTGTGACGCAAGAATCTAATGAATTCTTGAGCATTAGTCTAGATGCAAGAATATAATAAATGTTTAGATAAGCTTTTGACCAGGGCAAGGAGATCGTGCTGCCATACCGGGATCTTCACATTCCTAACACTTCGAGCCTGAGGGGCTATCCAGCTCAGTCCCCAAATCCCTGACCTTGGTAAGAAATTGCCTTGCTGTTCTGCATAGTCCCCTGCAAGGGGTTCACCTCAGTGTCCAAGACCTGTCCTGATGGACCTTGGAACAACCTGCCAAAACAGCATTAAATCTAAAGTTCTACCCTTTGTGAAAAGTTATAAATAATTTCACTGCCCGATTAAGGAGACCAAGGCAAAAATAATCAAGAGAAAAATGCGGCTGTAAAAAAGGAAACCACGCATGTGAAATTAAGGGACAGGACATAAGGGGATGGACAGTGCTCTCCGCTGCCTTAGCCCCAGCTTAACACACACGAGAGACACACACGGGCAGCCTGTGCCAAATGGCCAAGAAATGTCCCTGCAAGGGCAACTCATGCTTTGGAGCCAGACTGGCATGTGAGAGAGGTTCAAGTGCCCCAAAGGGAACCGATGCCAAAAACACCCCAACCCAGACCAGTCTCCTGGATCAGAAAGTTTGGTTTGCCAGAAAGGAATTCAATCTTTGAGGCATAGCAGGAGGACGAGTGGGTAGATGTAGCCCCTGCCAGCAAGGCTTTGGTCCTGGAGATGGAGGGACTGATGCTGCCCGCGCAGTGGTGCCTCCGCTGCCATCGCAGCCAGGGAGGATGAGCGAGAGCGACGGGTGCCGTAGGGCTTTGGGACCCCCCACTGCCAGGCTGGCGAGAAGCCCAGGAGGGCGCAGGAGGGCCACTGTGCTGCCCCAGGGCATGAGCCACCCCTTTGCAGGCACGGGGGACAGCAGCACACGCTTGCTTCTGCTGCTTAAATTAGAGACACTTTCACTATATATTAATTTAGGTCCCTGTGGATGTGCAAAGTGCAGGATCCGGGTGGACAAGGTGCCTGTGAGCGGGGAGAGCTGGGGCAGATTCGGCATTGCTACATTTCTCCCAAGGAACTGCTTGCAAGTATGCCAAGCGTGGCACATGGAGCATCACTTTTTGGGAGATTAGGAAAAGGCCGGTGAATGTGGCAAGCACAGGGGGAGAATCCTGAACTGAATACAGCGCTGAATTAAGGCTTGTCTTTTCCCTCGTCTCAAACTGAAAGGCGCAAGCGATATATACGTATTCATTCGACCTGTGCTGATCTCCCCCCTCCCCCTTAACGGGCTGTTCTTACGTTCCCCAAAATCAGGGGCACGGGAAAGAGCATCCCTTGCAGGATTCCCTGCCTGGATGCGGGAAGCTGGGCTGCAGCTAATTAGAAACACCCTTCTCTTTCCTGTCTCAAACACCTGCTTCAGATGCCAAAATGGGACCTGAAACAGGCCCTCAGATGCAAACAGCCTCGAGTGGAAAATCCAAAGACTCAAGCTGGATTTCTTGTCCCATTCGTGGTTCACAGTCAGCTACTGAAAGGGGCGTTGAAGTTTCAAGAAATCTTCCTTCCAAGCTTCTTCCTTGGGTTACCCTGGCTAAAACTGTATTTTGCAGGAGCTTCCACAATTAAAATATAAAACTATTTTTACTAGTTCAGGGAAATAAAAATTTCAATTATTCCCAGCTAAGGAATATCCTCATGACATAACAACAAGTGTTTTTGTACTATTTTAAAATAATATTTCTTATTCAGGAATTTTATTTCTAAGATATATTTTTTCTGTGTGAGATTTAGCTAAAATGGCTATTCTGAACAACACCATGAAGGTAGGCTGAAAATGTATCAGAGGGCTATAGCATCATAAATATACAAATTTACATTTCTAACTTGATTTCCATTTTATTATTCCATTATCTTTTTTCTACTTTCTGTGTAAAATACTATGCACCAAAAAATAATTTTCTGCTAGAAAGACCATTCATAATTGAAAAAAAAAAAATCTCTGCAGGCTTACATTTAGGCCAATAGGAATTTTGCTGTTTGGAAAACCTTCCTGGAATCCAACACAAATTGCTCCACATTGACCCCACGTGAGCCGACAGACAGCTTTATTTGTCACTGTGTGACACAACAGTTGGCCCAGCTGCTAATTAGCCGTGATTGCTGATGGCAAACAGTCCATTAAAAAAATCTGTTCAAGCCAGTAATAATATATTGCACTACACTTCTTTTCCTAGAATGGATGTTACAGGGATCTTCCACTTAGACTTTCTCTGGTAACATAGTCAGCACACAAACCTTCTAATCCAGAATATTTTTTTTTTTACTACTACTTTTTCATTTTTATCCCAGGCCCCACAAACAGTTCTCCACCCTCTCAGCGCATGAGTAAGACTGATGCAGTCTTACTTACATGGTGCAGCTCAGTGGCTCAAGTTTAAGAGGAAATACCCTCAAATTTGCTTCTTTGGAGCTTTTTGTGAATTCACTTGGCATCATCGTGACTGAGCTAGCAATCAGCTGTGGTTTGCGGGAAGAAGCACGCACGTGGTTTGCCTTGTCAGCTCTACACGCTGCATTCACACCCCATTAATTCAGCCTCTTGCCAGCCTGGGTTGATGGTTGACCCTAGAAGCTCACCGTTGTAATGGCATGGCTCTTACCATTGCCAGAGACATTTATTAATCACACTCCATCCGTATGAATTAAAACCTGCAGAAAACATCCATGTTCTTACAGTTATAAGGAGAAAGAAGAAAAAAACCCCAAAAGTCCAACCCAAAAGCAGAGGAATGCCTGGCAAATGAAAATCACTGCATTTTTGAGAGTGGACACGCCTTAAGACATTTGTTCTGTACAAAAGAGAAATATTAACTAGTGATGGGGATATACTGAGATAAACAAATTACTGTGAGGCAGTTGGATGAGAATTTACAGAGCATTACCTACTCTGTCTCGCTTGGACTGATCACAGTAGTGCAAGCTGGTGTATCGCGCTCTCATCTGGTCCCTCCATCGCACCACCCGCAGGTTACAGCACACAAAGAAGCGCCGTGGCAGCCGATGCGGCTTTGATTGATACCCCGGCTTTCACAGAGGGCTGGATTGTTCCTCGCAAACGTGCACTTCACACTTTTTTCAACTTTTGGGGACTAAAAGTGTTTCTGCTATAAATGAAGCAGCGTCCTTTATGAAGTATCTTTGCATGTTTTTGGGTTTGGTTTGTTTGTTTGATTCACATTCTGCAGCAGAAATAGGCCTCTCAACTCCCCCTTTTACACTCAGTCTCACTGAAATTAGCCACAAAAATTGCACAATCTCCACTGCACCTGTGGATAGAAGACGTTTGTTCCAGACACAGGCTGTCCTGGATTTTCTTTGACTCTGTGCTGAGCAATGAAGGTTGCTGCATATGTCCTCCTCTTTCTCCTGAGCAGATGGACGGGAACAGGCAAGGCTTCAGGGCTGGAGACCCAGTAATTTGCAAGGTACAACTGACACAGCAAAATCATCTCAATTTACTGATGACTTAAGAAGGAGAAGTGGGGATCCACCCCTAGCCAAGACAAGGCTGAAGAAAAGGACTTTTGCTATTAAAGGCTACCCCAGGTTGCTGTATCTCTTGATTGTCTCCAAAATGTGCCCTCCCACCCTTCCTTCAGGGCTGTGACTACACACACTACCTCTGTACAAGTTATTTTTTGGGATGACAGGTCATTATCTGCTTCTTTGGAAAATGTACTGTCATGGTATAGTCTGGGATAAAATAAATATTCACTTATTTAAAAAAAAGAAAAACAAAGAAAAAACTTCATTAATTGAATTCACCAAATTATGCCAAAGACATAGTTAAAAAAAAGCCTTGCTGTTGTCTAATCTGCTTCTCTTTGGCCTTCTTGTCCTGCAAGTCTGACCAATTGTACTTGGATAAATAAAATAAGCCATCTCTCACACGAACCTATATAAGCTATAAGTAAAATTGCTGGTGGCAGTGGTCAGTGAAAAATTAATTTCTAACTGAAAGTCTTCCTCAAACAGTGCAGCACAAACCACACTTCTGCTCATCTGGAGATTCCCTGGAGGTTCCCAAACACACCAAGGCTGCGCTACGGCACGTGGGGGGAAAGCACCACAGTTACTTTTAACCATTAAGTAATCCAGTTCTTTAAGGCAGCCTTGACTTCCAGAGGGTCTACCAAGGAGCGCACTTAGAACATCAAAGGACAATTCTGAACACTATCGCTGATGTTCATGTTCAGTTTTTAACCATATGAGGGAATTGCTCCTCTGAAAACAAACTCATCAGTGAGCTCATAGGTCCCTACACTGAGCTTTCCTTCATTTCGCGCTGTATTTATTTCTCTGTTGCTCTCATTTTATTCTTTAAAAACGCCGAGAGATTAGAAAAGAGATCAAGTCAATGTGTCGGGCTAATGTTTAACCTTAAATTAAAACCTCACAGATAAAAAGGGAGTGTGCTACAGATTTCACAGCTAAATCCCCTGCTCCAGCTTGCCTGACAGAAGCATCAGTAGCACTAGGGTCTAAGAGCATTCCACACCTTCCTAACTCATCCTTTGCTATTTTGTTTTGCCTCCTGAGAAGTGAACTGGATTTAAAAAAAAGTCTCCTAGCTGAATAGTCTTTCTGTTTATTATTTTTCATTGATGAGATACAGATAAGCTTCAACTTTGCTGTCAAGTGAGTTAACCTGTTCAGAGCAACAGCTATAGAGAACCAGAATCCTCCACCAGAGAATTGTGCAACTGGTGCTATGTCAAACTTCGTAGCTCCAGAAGTCAAAAAATTTGTGGCTTGGGACTATGTTGTTTTTGCAGCACTATTTTTAGTGTGTGCTAGCATCGGAGTCTTTTTTGCAGTAAAAGAGAGAAAAAAGAAAACTTCAAAAGAATTTTTGGTGGGCGGTAAGCAGATGACATGCGGACCAATAGCTTTCTCTCTCACATCAAGTTTCATGTCAGCAGTGACGGTTCTGGGAACACCCTCCGAAGTTTATCGCTATGGGGCATCCTTTGTGCTGTTCTTTCTTTCATACGCGCTTGTCATAATTTTTACTGCCGAACTTTTTCTGCCTGTATTTTACAGATCTGGCATAACAAGCACTTATGAGGTAAGTAAAAATTATTTTAAAAGTCACTATTCTAACATAAAAGTCAGTATAAAACATATAGATACTTTTAGAGAAAAGTCTCTGACAGAAGGCTTTCTGCAGCATTTTACAGAACAAGTGTATTGATATATTAACTATTTTTAGAAATGGGTTGCATTATTGAAACTAGTTATTTATATTCCATAAGTGAAAGCACAAATTAAGCATCGGAGCTCCTGTTATGCATATATAGCAAAGACAGGATAAGAGTTTACACACCAGCACCAAATTAAGATACAGCTGGAATATATTTAAAGTGTATCTAAATGCTTTTGATCTTATAAATAACTATGGCACTCTAGTTTAGAGAGCAGGTATTAAAAACAGATTTTAAGAGCAAAATTCAATAGCATCCAATTCAAACTTGGTCTAGCCCTGGCCATTTGGTCCAATTTACTATAAAAGTGGACTACTGGATATCTAAAAAGCTGAAGTGGGAGAAAGGGTTAAAAAGGAAGAAGATGGCAGGTCTCTGTCAAAAAAAAAAAAGTTTAGGGCTAGAGAATGAATTCAGGAATTCTCTGGGAAATTAAATGAATGACCTCTGAAACTTCCAGAGTTTTTACCTGGCATTCCTCCTGGAACACATTATTTTCTTCATATGACAGTTCAGTAGTTAAAAAAAAAAAAAATCATCAGTAGTCCTTGTGATGTTATTGCTAGGAGCAGAGTGCACGGTCCTTATCATCTGCAACCCCATAGGGCAGCTGTTAAACATTTGGGCATAGCCTTTTAGTCAACTTAATCAGCTGCCGCATTTGGTTGCTCCTGTTTGTGGGCAGTTTCAACTAAGCAAGAAGTGGATGAAGAAAGCAGGGTTAGTTTGAGAGGAGCTTCCTGGTAACAGAAAGGCTGCTTATATTCTCTAAGCCCAAATCCAAGGAGGGGCTTTGGCCAAACAGCTCTGCCTGGCTATTTGGGAATATTTCAGTTATAGGTTGGAAAAAAGTAAAATCTATTTTTGACCATCTATTCCTATTGCCACAAGTCACTGCATTTTCCAGCTGGTTTTGATGCAAGATTAGAGAATGAATTACTCCTCTCATCTGAACCACCAAAGATGTCATTGTAGCCAGAGAGTCCTTTCAAGCATGCTGGAAAGATGACTGCTGGTTTCATGAAATATTTTTAGAAACAAGTCAAGTTGCGTAAATTAGCTATTTATTTGTATGGCAGACTGTGGGGCTTATTATGCAAGACACAAAAATGATGAGTGTGCAGAAAATTAATAAGAAAGAAGCTGCTTTGGAAGCATTATGCCTAGAGACTTGTAAAGGAGAGAAGACTTGTGCAGCCTGTGCCTCGTGTCTGCTGGGGACACTACTCCAGGTGGCGACTCAGGCTTAAAAGCTGGACTTTTGGGGCTAGAGATCTGCTCACCTCTGCGGTTGTACAGTAATTGGGAACATCTCTCTACATCCACCTGGAAGTCCATAAGAACCCTACTTGCCTCTCCATATTGGTGTGCAGATTTGGCTTTATACTGACACAGAACAAAGCTCAGGCGCTGTGAAACTCTACTGTTGCTGCTTCTCCATCTGCTCCACCACCACTTTTGTCAATACAGGAGCCAAACTATGCTATTTCTCTTAGAGATGGCTTCAAGTTTCCTTTTCATATAGTTGAAATATACTTTCATTTGAAGTTTAAATTCCATTTCCTTGTAGCCCTTAGGCTCTGTCAGTTATTCCTGATATTGATTACTGTAACCCAACACATAACTTCAAGTGTATGCTACTGATGAGATTTCTTAAATGTAATTATTGCTATATATAACAACAATCATGCTTTCCTGCTCATTACTCATAGCAGTAGTGCCAGCTGCCAGTAATTTTACTTGCATAGCAAGCTGTTACTCAGGGCAAGCAGAAGGTTAATAGCTGTGTCACAGATGCCACATGTGCTATTTACTGAGATTCCTCTTTTTCCTAGTATTTGGAGTTAAGATTTAACAAGATTGTCCGTCTTGCTGCAACATTGATCTACATCCTGCAGACGGTAAGAGGACATGGACTCTTTGTTTATGCTAATTTCACTCAACAGTTATTTTGACGAACTAGTCTCAGACTGTGCATTTTTATAATGAGATATTTTAATGAGTAGTCTTTTTTCCTTAATTTTTTCACTTGGACTGTGAATGTTAAAAGGAAAGAATGCTTGCCCTTCTAACTTGCTAGCTTTCTCCTGTTTAGGATTAAAAATACCATTTTTGTTGTCTTCGACACTTGGAACTCTCACAGCTTCTCAAATACTTGGTCTCATTATGTTCCCTTGAAGCCTCTCTCTTTCCAAATGAATGGATTCTGTCTTTCTCGAGAAGCTAGATGAGCTGTACTGGGTACATTTAGTTCAGCAGTTACCCATTTATCACGCTGGGGTGAGGCTATCCCGTTGCAAAGCAGCTGCACACGACAAGGGCTGCACCCAGTGCCAGGTCCCAGGGACCAAGCCCAGCAGCCCACAGGGCAGAAATCGCTGCCTAGTGCGTGCAGACGCCACACTTGCATGCTGCCCTGCACTACCATAAAACACTGACTAGCCAGTCCACCCCTGTGTGTAGATAAAATAAATAACACTCCTGGATGGAGAGACTGAGCAGAGGCTAGCTTTACTTACACCCAAAACACCACTTTATTACTACTACTACACTTTACCTACTTACTTTACCAAAAGAAACCAAACTTAAGGAGCCACCCAAGGCACTATTATAGACATCAAATAGCTTTTTTCCCCTTTGATTTAAAGCTTCACTAAGTTTCTCAAAAGATTACATTAGTTATGTATTTGATGGAAAGTGTTGGGACATTGGCAGACATTTCTATGTTAATTCCATTTTATTAATTCCAAATCCTTTTGCAATAGATTTGAATGCTTATTGACTGCCAGGCTTTGTTTCTCCCTCGGTTCTGTTGGAACATACATGTGAAGGGCACTGAGTCAGCTACTTTGAAAGGGATTGAATGGAACAAGGGAAGTTCAATTTCCAAGATCAGTTGAAGTTATCTCTGCGTCACTGGTCTTGTTTTCCTGAGAGCTGCTCTTTCCATTTGACCAGGATATTTTTGTTATCTAGTCACCTCAGCAATGAGAGAAATAGGGATGAAATAAGTAATGCCAAGACAGATAATGGTCCTTCTGGCAGAAAAGAATTAAGTCAAAGATTTTTATTTTGTAAAGGCTGAAACAGAAAGCCATGTACAATACAAGCTGATCTAAAGAAACCTCCTGACCCGGTATTTTGCTCTAAGTCCCATTCTACACAGAAGCCTTATGACTGAGCATTCACATACTTTTTTTATTTTTTTTAAATGAACTTTTTCTTCTTCAGATCCTTTACACAGGAATAGTGGTTTATGCTCCATCACTGGCACTCAACCAAGGTGAGTTCCCATGCCACACTACATGGCTAGCCCAAATACCCACACCACAAGACAATTAGAACAAATGAAGTAGGGAAAATGGATAAAGAAGTCTAAAAACAATTCCTCATAAGTTTTGTAAGAAGGCTTTTGCCTGCACCTTGTAGCTCTGCATTTCTGACTCCCCAGATCTCTGTCTCACACCAGTACACTAGCCGGAGCCCCGCATTTGCTCTTCTGCTCTCCTTTGCACTCAGTAACCACCCGAAGAGGTTAGCAACAAACAATTTCTCAACATCCTGACAAAGTTCACAGTACAAGCTGATGATCCAAGACGTATTCTGTACTTTGATTCCTCCCTTCCCTGACTCCCGAGTTCAGGTTCCCATGGGCATAACTCCATTCCCTGTAGCTGGAGCCGAATACTGTGCTGTTTTCCGCACACTTTAATTAATCTTTGCAAACCAGGCTTACAGCATCTATCATGATAGATGGGATTAGCAATTTTACTGCCACGGGGCATAAGGAATCACCACGGCCCAACTCCTGATTTCACCAAAATGGACCGGGAAGAGATTGGGAGTCTCTTTTCTTTGTTCATCATCCGAGTTGTATCTGGTTTGCCCAATTCCACCTCTCACACAATGCCAAGCTTCCTTCCCCTGGAGCTAAACTGAATTTTATGTAACAGTTCACATTCGTTATTAGGTCATATTAACTTTGCTAATAAGAGAACCCTGACAAATAGGTTTGCCCTCACAAACTATGCCTGGTGGGAGAGACGTCAATATAAGCCAAACCAAAATTTGTACATCTTGTATGAAGTAACTTTATGAAGTAAAATGATCATGCAAAATTGTTTTAATGCAGTGCGTTTTAGCATTCAACTGTTCCTAGTTCCAGGGAATGGAATTTAGTTTGGGGTGGGTTTTTTTTTCCTTGGGATTCTTTGGAAATCTCTGAAGAACTTGATTTCCCAAGAGAAAATTCTGGACTAAGAACAGAAAGAAAGCATTGCTTATAGAGCTGCGTCCCATAGAAATGAAGTTTTTGCTTTATTCAATTATTCTTCTTACGCATTACTTTCGCACGCTCTAAAATTAGTTAAATCCAGTTTGCAAGAAAACAACAATGCAAAACGGTACCCAGTAGTGTTAAGAAATCTGAACATACTCCCATCCTTCTAAGGCTAAAGGGTCAAAGCTTTTCTGCTACCACCCCGATGACCTACCTCCATTTCCCTAACCATTTGGTTTTCTTTGGTTTCACAGTCACTGGATTTGATCTCTGGGGCTCTGTAGTTGCAACAGGAATTGTCTGCACTTTCTATTGCACTCTGGTATGTAACAGGCATAACTGAACAGCTGAAACACAGATTGTTAAGTCAACCATCCTTTATACTTGACAGGCTCTCACAGAAGGCCAGCTTCTAAATACAGTCTAAGTGACTGAAGTTTAAAGCAGCAGGACATAGAGGTAAATTTCTTTTAGACTCTGTGGTATAAGTAAGTCTATTTGGAGGAAAAAAACATTTTCTCTCAAATCCTCTGCTGTATGTCTCAAGGTTTAAACCAGACAGCTTGAGGCAGGGTCCAGATAAGGAGGTGATAACCTTCCTCTAACATACTAAAACTTTTCAGAAGATGATTCTTCTTATCTGTTACAAGTTATAGACCGAAAAACATTACAATGAAAAATGCGCCTCTGATGTCACCCCAGATCAAGAACAGTGATAAAACCTAGGAAGGACGATCAACAGGTCATTGAGAGCTTTGCTTCTGGGTGGAAGCAACATGGGGCTCTGGATTACAAAAAGATAAACATTGCAGAGGGAGCGGCAGAGCCCTCTGAATCAGGACAGAACCTAATTTCTGTTCTCATTACCACTAACAATTTTTTTCAATATTTCAGTCCACCCTTGTTGCAAACACTTACTATGTTGCTCTAATACAGATTTGATCAAATACGAAAGTAGCAATGGAAGAAAGCTGAACCGCAAACTTTCTGGACCTATTTTTCTGTGCTAGGCTAATTGTGGACCACCAGGCTCTCAGAAAGTGTACAGAATGCTATGGGAAGTACGAAAAGACCAGCTTGTGTTCCCTAAGCTTTTGCTCCACACCATGATATAGTCTTCAAATACGTATAAAAGAGGTAGAAAAAAGCATTTAACCAGCAGTCAGATATTCTCATATGACCGTGGACAAACCGTTTAGGCTGTGTAATTTTCTGAACTTGCAAAAATGCAACCTTTATGGGAGAATACGAAGTTTAAGAGTCCTGATTTGCTAGATGCTATACATACAGCTCATGAGTTTCTGAAATAAGGGGTCTTTCTACCTTCTGCTGTACTTGAACAACAGGAAAGAAGACGAGAGCATACAGTTTCTCTTTGTTTTAGGGAGGATTAAAAGCTGTTGTCTGGACAGATGCATTTCAAATGATTGTCATGGTGGTTGGCTTCGTGACAGTTTTGGTTCGAGGAACTACTCTGAATGGTGGATCGACCAAGGTCTGGGAAGTGGCCTACGAAGGATCACGACTAAACATATTTGAGTAAGAAACAAATGGTGCAAACCTTTTCTTTTTGTATATTTAATTTTTAGAAACCCTACCTTAAATAAGCTAAAAATACTCAGTCTTGTTATTACGCTACCAGTGAACAACCTCCATGACTCAGAGAAGTCTCTTCCCTAGTTCTTCATTTCTTGGGAATGCAGTTGACCTTCCAGGGGAGCTTAACTCCTCTGTTACCCTCTCTGAAGAAATTAAAGCCCTGCTGAACTCACAGGGAGCTTTACCATTATTCTTTGTGTAACCACAAAAGCAGCCCAATTATTCCTTCCAATTGCATATATCTTTCATTTTCTATTCATAAAACTGGCACTTCATTTTGAGTCCACGCACCACAGCAGCTAGCAATGGTGCACCAATGCACCAGGATAGCAAACTGACCTTCCTCTGGCTGTTTGTGGCCTTGACTGAAGAGTTCATTGATCAAGGCAAGTCACTGACAGGATCTAGCAGCAAGGTCAAATGTTATCTGCTATACATATTACAATTAGCAGAACTGCAAAGATGACAAATGCAAGACAGAAAGATATATTTGTACTGGTTAAAATTACTGAATAATGAAATTACATTTTAAAAAAAAGGTAACACTGCAACTGAAGCAATTTCTTGTAAAGGAAGTAACACATCATGATTTTGAGAGTTTAGCAAGTGGCTCTGTTCCTTGCAGAGGATGGAGTCCCAGGCACGATGGCTTGCGGGTCTATTGCTGCTATATGACACAGATCTGAAATCTGAGCATAAATAACATTTATAAGGCTTTTTATCTCAATTAATTGGTCATCTGACTGAGTCTGCACGATATATGTTTGTCCTGACTTGATAGTAAAGTGTTCCAATATAAAAGTAAAGAAAAGAACTTCCAACCTAAACAGATTAGATACTCTCTGTGCTGGAACACGGCATTGCCAGTGCAGTACTTCTGATCCAGAGGGTAGGACACATTGGATATTTCAGAAAAAAAATCACCCAACTCTTGGTAAATAAAAGCCTGTTTAAATAAGTGATCTGAATTGCTTCTTTCTCTATTCTAGCTTTGATGTCGATCCTTTGAGACGACATACCTTTTGGACAATTGTCATTGGGGGAACATTTACATGGCTAGGGCTCTATGGAGTTAATCAGTCCACAATACAGAGATGCATTTCTTGCAAATCGGAAAAGCACGCTAAACTGTAAGTTACTTGTCATTAACTTATTCTAGCAATCAAACATACTGACATGGAATTATAATAACAGTTTGTCAGTTACGTTAACTAAATATTGGGATGCCATTGGGTGGCAATAAGCTAATTTTGCACTGACAGTCTTACTTCCTCTGGCCCTGCATGACATAAATAAAGAAAAATGGGTAGCTATCTACCTCTTGCAGTTTATTAATTTGGGGTCAGGCTGCCAAATTAATCCCCAGAAGCAGAGTATGGAAAAGATGCCCACACAGAAGTTGTGATATCTACAGCTTCATTGGAAAAATATGTTTATTGGAATTGTGTTTATGTTGCATTTTATTAAAAGTGGTTATTGATTGAATGGGGCATGATCTAAATATGTTATTAAAATTCTAAAATATAAAAATAATAGGAATCAATGGCAAAGAACCAAGTGAAACTTCACAACACAGGCATACAGGTCTCCAGCGGGCTACCTTCCTCAAGTTCAGCATGAGTATGTGCAGAGCTAGACACGTTTTACTGAACAACCAGATTTTTTTCATACACTTAGTGTTAATTGCTTGCCCACTTGGCTTAACTGTTCTTGGCTAAAGTATTCTTCAGTTAGCTTTTTTGCTAGCTGCAATCACACCCATTTTTCTTAAGGTCATGACAGGTTGTATGAATTTATGCTGTTGAAATTCAGCCTCTGAAAATGTTTGGAAGTCACAACAGTGAAAACATCACTAGTAACAAGTCCTGAAAGACCTTTCAGTCCCAGTGGCACAGCTCTGAACCAGCCCCAACAAGAGAACTTATGTAAGGTGACGTTCAAACACGCTGTAGGCTCTGTACAACCTGGCAGCTCTTGGGAACACCAGGATTACTGAACCACAGCCACACAGACTCCTCAGCAGATGCTGTCACCTGCATCTGTTTCACGGACTAGTGAAAAAAACCCTAAGTGTGTTACTTTGCAATGGCAGCATTGCAACCATGACAGAATCCATGCAAAATAACACTCTGCGTGGCTTAAACGGAGAACAGCAACAACAACTCCCGACAGACAAAAATCTGCTCTTACAGGGGACAGGAGGGACAGATCTGGCACTTTGTGCAGCCTGTTCTGCCTACAAGTTACTGGTCTTAGATCAGTCTCTTCCACCTGTACAGAGTTACCTAGAACCTTACTCTCGAGAATAAAGATGATGTATTTTTTCATGGTTTTTTTTTTTTTTTTTTTTTTAAGGCAGTATTACACACCATCTCTCATCCCGGTGATGCCTGTAAGAGATTATATAGCTAGCTTTGATTAGGGCGTCTCTCTCAAAGTTAGAAATAGCTAACTTCTAACAGCTTTTCTATATTTATCGTGTATTAAACTGAGTTTCTCTCCTTTGTTCTAGGGCACTTTACCTAAATTTATTGGGACTTTGGACAGTCCTGGTGTGTGCAGTATTTTGTGGTTTGGTGATGTACTCTCATTACAAGAGTTGCGACCCTTGGACTGCTGATTTCATTTCAGCGCCTGATCAGGTACAGATACCCGTTATTATAATTAGGAGCTGCTTTGGGCCTAGACATAGCACATGTAGAGACAGTTCAAGTTTTGCAGGATGCTTTACATCCCTTCAGCCCTCAGGCACTAAGGTGGTTGCTGAATCAGGGCTAGAATGTATCTGTTCTGGCACTCCTGCAGTATTAATCTGATCGACCGCCTCCGCCAAACAACATCCCCTTTGCTGAAAAGCTGACAGCCCTTGTTAGTCGAAACAAAACCAGAATTTAGCAACATGCTCAGATGCAACTACTTTCATTACCCAGGAAAATCTTAACTAATTCCTTGTGTTGCTTTGTGCTCCTTTTACCCCAGCTCATGCCGTATTTTGTTATGGACATTTTTTCTTCGATGCCAGGAGTCCCGGGGCTCTTTGTTGCCTGTGCTTTCAGTGGAACACTAAGGTCTGTGAATCTGATACGACATTTTTGCTGCATACTGTTGATTTCTTGAGGACCCAGAACAAGGTCAAAACATGAAACCCTAAGAAAAGCCCATTCTAGGAAGAAGCGGTAGCGCATTTATGTCGAAGTCTAGCTCTACTTCTCCAGTATCTTTTTATGCCAAATATATTTTAGAAGAACATTATCAGCATAGTCAAAAGGGTATAAAAACTGAGTAAACACCAGTTCTCTCTGTAAAAGAGCTCAGCTTCCGGAAATATCTTTGGAGCTGCTCATGGTGAAATTGCCTTTACTCAACCCGACTACCACTATATTGTAGTTAAGGATAGAGAGTTTTTCAGCAAGTCTATCTGCACATGAAACAGAATTCGACTAGGAAAAGAGATGCCTGCATAGAGAAGTTTTAGAAACTGTGTGTCCTTCAGGGGGTGCTGGATGTTACTGTAGTTTCTACCCTCTACAGGCCAAACATCAGTACTTCATAGGGCATTAGAAAGAGAAGATTGAAGTTCACAGTGACATTATTCAAATGCTATAGAGTCAATCTCCAACAGGCTGTTTCTAAGACTCTTATCTGTAGAAAAAAGCAAGAAAGAGCTATCAAAACAGGAAAGAAAAGAAAAAAACACCACCCAAACCAAAATAACCCCACATAAAAAGGCACTGGCTGCTCCTGGCAGGAGACTAAGAGAACACGGTTAAGGGCACGGAGTAACAAATACTCTGCTGTAGGTATTGATGCTGCCATATTGTCACAACAAAAACACAGAGACAGCATTCACCAGGTATGGCTTAACTCACAGAGCTAAAAGAGTCAGAGTATCCCTATTCTGTAGTTTTCAGTTACGAGAGAAAACAGAACAGGCGTTTTGTGGAGGAACAGGGCATCACTAGTGGGCACTGCACATCCTTGACTTGTAAGGGAGTAATGTCTTTATTCTGGAACACGTCTACATTTTGAAAGTCTTCGCAGCTTGGTAAACTGAAGGGTCACTTAGGACAAGTTTCTGTCTTGTTCTGTGCCAGCATGAAGCAGGGCCCCTAGCAATCACAGAAGGGACAGGAATGTCACCAGCATCAGCAGCGTACATGAAAAATACTCTTCAAGAACTGTACTTTTTAAAGTATTAATGCTAAGCAAGAGGCAGCATTTCTCTATAAATACAGTTTAATTTCAGATTATTTTGCTTGCTATTTATTTAACGTACTTCTCCGTTTCTACAGCACGGTAGCTGCCAGTATTAACGCTTTAGCAACTGTTACCTTTGAAGACTTGGTCAAGAAAGGTTTCCCAAACCTCTCCGAGAAGATGAGCACATGGATCAGCAAAGGCTTATGTAGGTACCCCCAATGGGATCCATTTATCTAACAGCAAAGATGTCCATCCTCCCAGTTGCTATTACTACAGGAGCAAATAGAGTGGGGTTTTATATACTCAGAGCCTTGAGAGTCTCAGACTCCCAATTGACTCCAAAAGCAGTTCTGTGAATAGTGAAGAACACTGTCTAGAGACACTACTTCAGAAACACGCTTGTGCTTCAGAAACCTCCACAGGTGCATAACCGTCCATAAACTCTCAGGATGAATGTCAGCATGATGGTTCAGTAAAATTGGGCATGCGTGCTATATAGTGCACTACTCAAAATCCTTTGAAAAGTTTTGTCTACTGAAAATACCAGGGAATGCTCTGGGATCTTCTTTACAATACAAAAAGAATATCAATGTACTTATTACCACATTGCGCTATAGCAGTATTACTAAATATTATTATTTTATAGTAGTACAATAAGACATTTCTAAGTTTGAATAGAGTATCACATAAGCAGGTTATTCAGTTTTTCAGAGAAAAATAAAAATGTAAAAAAGACAAATGAAAAACAGATCATCAAAATATCAAGCATCCAAAATGCTTTCAATTTTTAAGACATTTTTACAAGTATTGCAGTAATATCATAACTCTTTTATAAGTATTGTAATAATATCATAACCATTTGCTGATGTTGGCAAAGATCACCGATGAGCCAAACCAATACTTTCTCTGTCTCTGTAACTCTCTCCAACCTTCCTGCTTTTCCATCTACCAGTTAATTTTTGCACTCTGGACCCAGAAAGATCATTTTTACCTCTGAAACCAAGGTGTGCTAGCACAGGAGATGAGTTTTGGTTGGCTTTCCTCAGACTACTACATACAGAGTTTTGCCTACCACAAAATTAAAACCGGTGTCAAAAGAAGAAAGCCATGTTTTTTATTATTGCTCAATTCATTCATTAAATTACTTAATAAGCATTATTTAAAGGCAACAGAAACATTTCTAATTTAGAAGTTATGCCTCATGTACTTTCATTGCCAATTTCTGCTTCGTAAGAAAAAAAAACCAAAAACCCAACAAGACTTCAAGCAAGACACTGCAGGGTGCTTAATGGTCCGCTTTAAACATCAAAGCCCAAAGTCCAAATTCCTGCATGGTGCCTGGTCACTTCAGACACTAGATGAATTAAAAATTGTCCACACTATTAACCAGCACTGACAACTTTGCTGTCTGATCTTTTCCAGGTATATTATATGGTGTCCTGTGCACTTCAATGGCTGCAGCAGCATCACTGCTGGGAGGAGTTGTGCAGGTATCTCACGCTTCAGAAATGCAGTGAACTGAACATGAATGAACAGAAATGCAATAAACTGAATAATGCTGACATCCCTGGGGACTGCTAGATTACCTGAACAATTTCTGTGGACTCTCTGCTGAGATTAATAACTCAGGAAAAAAAAAAATCCTAAATCCCTCAACTCCTTCACTATTTACTCACTGCTACGAAACAATACTGAGTGTGATTCTTTCTTTAATTGTGCATAGAAATCACTGTTGGTCCCTTCTCCCCCACCATCTCCCACTGAAAATTACAGACCAAAACCAGAACTGCGCACGCTCCCTCCAGCTGCCGCACTAAGCTCCTGTTTCTTCTCTGCACCCACAGGCTTCACTCTCCATCCATGGGATGTGTGGGGGGCCCATGCTGGGATTATTTACCCTGGGAATTGTGTTTCCTTGTGCTAACTGGAAGGTAAGAAAAAAAAAAATCCTTATCCAAAAGAAAATCTCTTGGTGTTGTTTGGTTAAATCTCCATCTTGAAAATGGTTTGGGTTTTTTAGATTTAGTCTGTGGGCTGCTTTTCAGATTTAGAGACTGAGGAATACAAGATCTGTTTAGAGGTCCCTTTTCACCATCTAAATTTATCTCATTGGAATTTAACTCTATCCAACTGTGGAATAATCAGTGATTAGATCCATGTGAAGAGGTTTTTTAAAAATTATTTTTATTTCCGACTTTCTTCTCTTTCATTAAAAAGAAAAAAAACAGCCCTAGCCTATATTTACCTTGGGTGGCACACAATGATTTTGGTTGCTCTGCCTTTGCTAACTCAGGCAAAACACAACATGAGCTCATTTCACACTGCCCCATGAGCGGTCCCATCGCATTTACCCAGAAGTAAAACTAAACTCTGTATTACAGTTTTGATCATCAGAGTTTTGCTTCAACTCTTATTACTAGAGGGCAATAAGTCACCACGTTTTATGCCTCAGTCAAGAGAGAACAGAATTGATTTACACTGAGAGAGGCTGTAACCAGTCATCACCTACTCCTGCCTAATTCATGTCCGCAGAGAAGCGCTTCCCATGCATCACCTTTAACCGTATCTTTCTACACCTGCCAAGGGTGCTATCGGAGGCCTCTTGGCTGGGATCACCTTAGCGTTTTGGGCTGGTACTGGCTCTTTCATTTACCCCGCACCACCGACAAAGTCCATTCCTCTGCAACTGTCGACTCTCAACTGCACGCTGGCTAATAGCACCGAGGCGCTGACGATGGCGGCGGCTCCCACAGCGGCTCCAGACAGGTATTTTCCCTACCGCTACCTCTTAAGCTTCGGCACAGCGCACACGCGGCGCGTGTCTGGGGCACAGCCGGTAACTGCCGAGCAGGCCGGGAGCACGGACCGCCGCCGGATCATAGGCCGACGGCAGCGCGAGGTGTACTTTGCTGGCAGAGTCAAGAGCCGACGTGAATGTGCCTGTTGGCCATCACTAGCTGCTTCTTCCCCTTCTGTCACCTCTTCACAGGCCTTTCCTGGCAGATACCTGGTACTCCCTGTCCTACCTGTACTTCAGTGCCGTCGGCTGCCTAGGCTGTGCCATCGCAGGGCTGTTGATAAGCTTTATAACAGGTTGGTGTTCAATATATATAGAAACACTTTGCATGGGAATCTGACTCAGCTGCTAAAAGAGCTTTAAACAAGTCCAGCAAATGGCTCGTGAGACGCAGACTCAGGGGAGGGCAGCGAGCTCCCATCCCGCTCCCCCCACCTCACGCTCCGAGGCCCCCGAGGCTCACACCTATCTTCCCGTAGACCGCGCCATCATTATCGTCTCCTTTCAGGACCTAGTAAAGGCGAAGATATCCCACCAGTGTTAATTAAGCCAGTCTGCAACCCGTTTTGCTTTTGGTCCGAGAGGCTCCAAGCTTGCTTCTGGTGCGGCGTGCGGCACGACGGCCAGGAGGTGAGTACCCCAACCCGCCGCTTGGCCCCGCGGGCCTACGTGCAGGCACAGGCCAGGCAGAGAGCAGGCCAGCTTTCAGCAATTGCTCTTTACAGTTACGCAAGGGACGCTGCGTAGGCACCGCAGATGGAAAATGAGGTCAGCCAAACCCTCCTCCTCGGCGTTAGTCAGTGATAAGTTACCTATTTCCCATTCGCACAGTACACGGGGACTCGGGGTCCCTGGAGACAAACAGCCGTCAGGACGGCCATCAGCCCGTGAAACGGGGGCCAACCTCCCTCTCCCTGCTCCGGCAGCCAAGCAGGGACAAAACCACACTTTACACTTCAGAGAGCAGTTCACCCAGCTGCTGCCTCCTCCCACCAAGTACAGAGAGAAAGACATTAGCACTTACGCGTCCACAAAGCTCTTCCGCTGCCAGAATCCCCACCTTCAGACCCGGCATGGCTTCTCCCCTCCAGCAGCTCCAGCAGCACCACCAGCCCATCGGGCAGAGCCACAACCACCATCACCTGGGCCACTCCTGCCCACCACTTCCTCCACAGAAATAGGACCAGCTTTCCCCAGGTGTCTCAGGGCTTCATACCTCGTTAACAAGCCATAGAGAATGAGCACCTTGTTTTCGCGCACTGTTCTAACAGTTTGCAGAGAAACAACATTGCTCCATCATAGCAGAATCTGCTAGGCTTATAGAAGGGATGTAAAGCAATGCGTATGTTTTTAGCTCCTTTAGAGTACTCTACAGGTACCTTTAAATCTTGAAAGTAATCTTCCAGCTGCAAGGCTCACCGTGCTCAGTGATAACATAGAAACTGTCCTTCCACCAGCCTGCATTGAATTTGACATTAAAGTTAATTATCTAATTTGGAGAGCAGCTGTGGCTCTAGATTTGCTTCAGCTCTTTTACTTGGCTTTTTGGTGCTCAACACAGACTTCAACATCTAGAACTTTTCTGGAGGAAAATCATCTCAATAAAAGAAGTTAAAAAAAATCACGTATGCATTTATCCCCTTGCATTTGCTTAAAATGAAGAATAATAATATTAATCAAGTAGTTACAGTGTGAAACCACTGAGGCAAGCGTAGGCCAGACAAAAGAAACCAATCCACTAAAATGTAGATAAATATGCAAATGAAAAACTAAGCCTATGTGATTGTGAATGCACGAAGGGCACATTTCAAGACTTTTACATGAACAGAGGCATTTGAGAAATTGTTTTTGTTGCTTTTGACAAGGAACTTTCCATGGGGGAATGAGAAAACCAGCAGTTGTGTATGGAGGGGACACACACTGAACTGTGCCTGTTTGTGGGTCTGAGGGTCATTTCACGTAGTGAAGTAGCTCCTCAGATTTAGAAGAAAGGATATAAAAATTTAAAAATGCAACAAGATACTCTTTAAGCAATGGAAAAAAAGCAGTGGATACAGACTTCAAACTACTAGGGTATTTTTCTTTCCTTTTTCAGGTGGACTTTGAAAAAAATTTGCCTAAAGTTATTGCAAATAAAACTGGAAGAGATGGCACCTTCAAGAATAATATCAACACAGAAAACAAACGCCAGTTCCCTGGTTACAATCCTGAGGAAAATTCCTTTACTAATATGAGCAGAGAATCTCGCCTCTAGAAGCTGAGGGACAAGGGACATTTAATCAAACTTTATTTCTCCAGCTTCAGAAATGAAGAGCTCTTTTGCATTTACCAGCTTGTAGATGACCAAGAGGGAACAATTGCTCTCTATAGCAATAAAGGCCAGATTTTTATTTATGAATTTCATGACAGACCTGGGAAATCATCAGACAAGGGGTTTTGGAAGCACTGTTATTTCAGAAGAAGTATTTCATGAATCTTCTTGTGGAAGCTCTGGCTTGGAAGTAGCTGCAACACGTCCCTATCACATACTCTGTTCAGTAACTAGTCATTGAAGGGAAACTTGCAAAGCTGAACTTGAGATAAAACAAGACTTTGAAGAAGTTTCTGAGGTCTCTCACTAAGATGAGACTGTGAACTGCCCTCTGATGGAGGGAGCCCCAGGGAGAGGAGGGAGGTCAGGCTGAGCTAGTCGCTGCAATTCTTAGGTATCACAAAAAGCCTCCTCACAGGAATGTTGTATAGACCAGACTGGTCTTTTAGCGACTGAGTTAATCGTGTTTGCTTCCTCTGTGGAACTAAGATTTCTTTATAGTGTCTTATTGTAAAAGTTATCGGAGAGAGTAATAGCAAATTTTACTTTGAATTCAGGATAGTTCTTTATCTGTTTCAGTCTTGGAAAGACATCCTTTCAGCTCCAGAAGATCCACCTACTACCTTCATGCAATAAAGAAAATAAAACATTTGATGATGATGCCTCCTAATTGATAATCCATGCTGAATTTTGGCAAAAGGCATGTGATTAGGCAAAACAATCTGTCCAGTGAAACGTCTTGGAAGCAGATACCTAGTCCACTAAGTGCTCTGCTTCAGTGAAACACATTTCTTCTAAAATTTGCCTCATGTAAACCAAAGTCAATAGACAACCTTTCCCCTTGACAAACTTCTGGATGTAGTTTTTTAGTTGAATGTATTTGTTTTTAAAAAACTCACAACTGGATGAAAATACCAAAGATGACTCAGACAGTTACGGACCCAGCTGATACTTAGCTCATATTGCTCTGAAGAACCCAACTGTTGTTTTTGCTTTATCAGGACCATCTTTATGACGTAGATCTAGGTCAACCTGGTTCTTGGATTTGCTCACCCTGTCAGTGTTCGTGTCCTACACCTGGGAATGGTCCCAGGATATTCAATCAGAGAACAGAAATAGCAGTCTGTACATGACACTGCCTTGCTTGCAAGGGACAGTTTGTCAACAAACTGAGTCTTAAGTCAATATTTGCATTAATCCTTTTTACACCATTTATAATCTCATAAAAGCTTACAGCTGAGTCTGGCCGGCAGCCCGTTGTCTCACGTGGCATACTTTCTGGGCATGCTTCTGTAATTGACATGGATATCAAGGCAGAGATGGAGACTCGGTAGATAATACAACTGTATCATTTATATCTCATGGCCACATACATTATCACTTAGGTTACATCAAGAGAGCCTAACTATCATGCTTAAGGATGTAAAACAATTCCAGAGTGAAAGTGGTTCAAAACAACAATGTGAAGCTGCACTGTTAGAGGTTGGATGAAAAAAACCTCTCTACTGATCACTGGAGGATACCTGATTTGGAGACATCTCACTGTGAAAATGACCAAGTCTGCTCTGAACATTTCTTGAGACGCTTACTCATTGCAGTATTCTTATGCTCTGCATGCTGGAAGATGCACAGTTTGCATTTTTCAGTATTTTCTCACAAGTTTAGCAACACCTTTATACTGGATTTGCTACAGACTTAGTATCTTTCCAAAGTCCTTTTCCACAAAAAAGAATTTTAATTTGTCCATTTAATGTCAAAAAAAGTGAGCTAGGTTGGCTAGAATTGCATTCTCTCAAAATGTCTTTGAAGAAATATCCCGAATAATTTCTCTTTAACTTCCTATTTCTGGACTAGTTTTGTTTCAACATAAGCTGCTCATAGAGCCCAAGTGTTTTCTGTATTTGTAAAGGAGCCAGGCATTGCACAAGGTTTTACCAAGTCCAGCACGTGGACTTAAGTATGATGGCTAAAATCGTTAATCAGTAGTTCATTATTCAGTCTTCTACCAAGATTTAAAGATGTGGCCAAGCAAACCTGGAATTCAGAAAAATTACCATTCTGATTAAAAGTTGAGGTCAGCATCGTTTACAGTTACCATCTTACCTTCTTGTTTGCTTTACATCCTGAGCCATTGATCCTTCCAGAGAAGAGCTAGCCTGCACACTTGAGTTGAAAAAACGAGATTCAGAAACTAAGAACATGTAAACTCTAAAAAAAGAGCTTAAATTTAAGAAATTGTTAGTCACCAGGGAAAGCAGTAGACCATAAATGATGGAAAATTTGAAAAGTGAGTCTATATGTGCCTTGAGGCCACATTAAGTTGAGCATTTAATTGTTAAAAGTTAAACAAGTGTCTGAACCAAGTTCAACCCTTACATTACTTCCTTACAATACTATGGTTTGAAGGCACATGAGCGCTCACTGTTCGAGTGTACGATTTTTTCTTTAATTACCTTTAAATATTTGGAATAATGAAGCTCAAAACCTATTTCAAAGATATCCAAGTTTATTACTGAAAAAATGCAATATTCAAATGTGTATGATACAGTAAGTAGTTGCATTTGTACATGTAAACCTTAATAAAGTAAACAGCATCTCAAAGACAAATTTATGCCAAAAGTGTCTCACAATAGTTAATCAGATCAAGAACTTTTTCCTTGGTCAATTTTTTTAGTTCTGGGGTACATATCGACTTGTAGAAGTAATCTTAAAACACAAAGAAACCTGAAGCTGACAGGCCAGAGGAACTTGCAGCTTGTAGTGCATAAAAGTCAATTTCTCTGAAACACTCTGTGGTACTGTAATCTGTATTTTAAATATTACTTACAAAGTGTGGATTTAGGAATAGAAAAAATAGTTGAAACTTTATTATCATTCCTTACTTAGAAACCAAGTTGTATTTAAATATTACATAAATTTCAAGTATATACACATTTTAAGAAATCTCTTATGATCACGATATTGCAAGTTAGCCAGGACTATCAGAGTAAAAAATGACTGAACTATGTTATTCAGTTGGATTTTACATGAGATTACTTCAAAGGACTGAAATTCCAGTGATACTATTCTAAGTAAAAATTAGAGCCAACAGTTTGGAAGATTTTTCAATACAAAACTCTGAGTCATCTAAATAGAACACAAAATAAAAAGGTGATCTGAATTTGTTTTTCATGATTAACAAAAAATCATCGCGTCCTCAGTATTAAGAACCTCATTAGCTTTAGACTGCATTGAGTTTAATCCTAGTTTCTCACCCGGTAGCATCCTAACAACTAGCTGATGGCAATAAGAATGCAAACTACAGAGAACATATAACATTATCAAAGTTATGGCAAAAAGTTAGAACGAGCCACCAAAACGTAGCACAAGATAATTTCCAGTGCAGTGAAGAGGGAATATACCATTAACATTTCAAGACTAAATCCCAGTCCTGGATTAAAAAAAGTTCCTGTATAGCAAAGTGATTTCTCTACAGTTCCTTGTTGTGCCGTTAGAACTTTGTGCTGTTGTGGTAACCTTGTGCTATCATGATGATGCCAAAATCATGCCAATACAAATTTCTGGTAAATGTGGTTGCAATGTCAATATTAAACAAAAATTGTCAATATGAGGCTATTATATAAATTTAAAAACACTAGGATTGTGTAGGGTATTTGGGACACCTGTGCGCCTGTGGGGAGGGACATAAGGAGTGCATAAGGTAGTGCTTGGAAAAGTGGCTGAAGGGCCAGATCCAGAAATGGATGCACCCTGTGCTTCCTCACGCCGCTCCATCCAACACATACCAACTTGCAAAAAGCACCAAGCAAACTACTCTTTGTGCGCTTTCTGCTTTGGCTTCTCAGCTAGGGACATCCAAAAAGAGCCTGCAAAAAATGCTGCAGTTACAGAATTGCCCTGGAAATTGGACTGCCAGCAAGAAGACATCGTTTAATAAAACACTGAGGATAAGTAAAGAACGAGCTAGAGGAGAGAAGGAAAAGGATCAGGAGGGCTGTCACCATGCTCCAGCTTCAACACCTTGTTTTGCAGAACTGCGTGGGATTCCAGAGCAAAAGTCTCTGAAGTGAAGAGAAGCCCTTTGCTGCTTCTGCTCATCCTCAGCCTCAAAAAGCTGGCTCACTGCATTTTACCCCAGCAGAACATGGCCGTTGCAAGAATGAGGTTGCGTATGAAAAGACTTAGGGATCTTTTAAAGCTGCTAAATTTTCCACTGCAGGAATTTAGGTTTGCAAGTCACTTAAACGCTTTCAGAAAGTTTCACTGCATGCATTTCAGCCAGACAAAGTATGTATTTGAACTAACAAAATAACAAGTCTGTCTAAATGTGTAATTCTGTTTGAATCCTAGTGTCAGCCTTAAAACCAAATAAACATTATTATGAAAGGCTGGCCAAACAAGCAACATTAACAGTTTATGAGGATTACAAAAAATAAAATGCTTCTGGAAGTACTATTGCATTGTGAGTGATTGTTGATACCACTGTTTTTATCTCTGTTCCTTTTCTCCTACATAACACTTAATACAAAACATGATTGTTTCATTTCTCATTAACTTTACTGCCTTCATATTTAGCTGTTTGTATAAAATGAGTTTCATTGATATGACCATTCCCTAGTGTATGTAAAAAATCTAGGTTTGTTAATAGTTTTAATTAAAATTTGTAGCACTTGTAAGTTAACTATCTATGAACCGTCTCTTTTCATTTTATGGACAAGGATCATTTTCAGTTAATCAAAACTATATGCTTCTAAACATGTTTGTATTAATTTGCCCCTGAATGAACTGTGACATAACACAGAAGATTAATAAATCCCAAGATGCCATGTAGGACTGTGCAGATAATGCCACTGGATCCCATGGCTTCAGAAATTCTCTCCGGCAGCTCTCCCATTTGGAGTCTGCAATGGAAGAAGCCGCAGCAAGGAAACAGCAGACGTGCA